GTGAGGTCATAAATCTCCTTGCTGTGATTCTTTGATAACATCGCAATAAATAAGGGCAAGTTGATTCTATCATTATCCGTGAATTTAGTCATTTGGTTAACGTTAGTTAGTACAAATCCTACTTTGATTAGTTCATTTTCAATTTCTTCTCCATTGAATTCGGCTGGTATGCCTTTTAAGATGATTTTGAGTGGTTTATGCCATCGACGAGGAAATGTATGATATTCGACCTTTCATCACCTACGAGTTTGGTAACTTTTCTATGTTCATCGTCAGCCACTACTTTTAGGTGGATTTGGTAACCAAAAAAAAATCATGTGAAGTCTGGGCTTTTATTGTTTTGTAGGAGTATTTTGACTTATCTTTGATGAGAATGGGTGGAATGAATTGCTTTCTAAAATTGTAATTCTTTTAAAACCGTCATTGAACAGCCAATCCAATTTTAGGTTCACGACTACCAATGTTCAACTCCGTAACCTTGTAATTTTGGACCCAACCCAGAAGACAAGGGAACTCCTGGATCAAGTATTGGGAGAAATTTGACTTCGTGAAAAACTTTTTGATGGAACTAACCAGCATTTACGTTACATGGAGAGGAGGAAACCCACGAAAACCTCCCATAGCTAGTTTGACAGCAAGGGGATCCTAACACATGATCCGTCTTCCACTGAGGACATTTTACATCAGCACTGTAGTCGGTGCGAGCCGGGTGAGGGATTTGTATCAATCAGCCATCGATGGGATCGCAATATTCCTGTTCCCAGCTTTCTGCTGATGGTAAGGTTTCAATAATTTTTTCAAGTTGTATAGCACATTCATCGTCTATTTTTACCTATTCACTTTATCTTTTGTTTATCATCCTCATTATTATCTACTTGTTTATCTTCGTCATACTCAGATCTTTGTTTATCTTCCTCATTATTATCTATTTGTTTATCATCCTCATACTTGGATCTTTGTTTATCTTCCTCAATGTTGGTGGTATCATTTTTGGTTGCAGTAGTTGAATTTTGCTTGTTTTTTTTTCTGTTTAGTCTTACGTCTTTTATGTGCACTTGGAAGAAGCTAGGAAACCACTGGTCCCTGGGCCTCGTCAAGCGCTTTTTCCATATCTCTCCTTCCGTCTTCCAATTGGGAGCTTTTGAAGCGAAGATCTGCAACTTGTTCATTTAATTTTGAAATTTGCTGAACTAGAGTATACAGCGCAAAATTCTTAATAGAAAGTTGTTATGCCATGTCTCCTAACAAAGGAGAGCCTGCTGTGATAAAAAAAGTTACTTCTATTTACATCTGAAACGTCCATGGTATCTTTAGCAAGGGACATTTTATACTAGTAATCGAATGCTGAATGTGCGTGGTGGATGCTTTTATAACGACTAGTATTCCTACACACGACCGACATGTTTTTGAGTCATGTGATACGCTAACAATCATATCCATTCTTACTTCATTCAATGGTAAAGCAAAAACGGCAAGAACTTTATTCAGGGTGCGTAGCCAAATGTTTCAACAAAAAATAAGCCCCTTTTAAGCACTTTTCAAGCACTCTTAAATATTTTTAAGCTCTTATAAAAAATATAATTAGGCAGGGTTGGCAAGTTTTTGACAATTGTCGGTTTTATCCGGATTTAACCGTCATGCCAAAAATAACTTTTGGCATAGTTTTTGACCATTGTCAAAAATCATGAAATTTTGAATCATAAAACGAATGGCGTTTTCATACGCTAACGACCGACGGAACGCCGAAATAAATTGGGGTTGAATTAATTGCGAAAACGTATAATAGAACAATATGAACAGTGTCTTTTTGCATAATACGTGGCAAAAATCAACAGGGTAAAGGAAAAATTAAGCACTTTTTAAAAACACCCAATGAAAAAAATTAGAGCTTTTAAAAAACGAAAATAAGCATCTTTAAGCACTCTTTAAAAATGCTACGCACCCTGTTATTGCTTACCTTGTATATACCAAAACTTTAAAAAGGTAGCATTTGTTGAAAATATGCATGGTGAATGTTAATTTTAGGTTCTGATCTATTCTATAGGATGATGAATGTTTTATGTATATTTAAAGATTTGAATTTGATGAAAATACGCAAGAAGGATGCTTTGCTTATGTTTTTATTTGTTTCCTCAGACCAATTTAAGGTCTAAGGCAGGGATGGGCAAACTACGGCCCGCGGGCCAACTGTGGCCCGTCGGAAAGTTTTATCCGGCCCGCGGATAGAATTTTAACTTACCGATCCGTGACGATTATAAACAATATACATCCATTTTCTTATTCTGCTTTGTTTAAAGCTGTTCTTTCTTTTTCAACAAAGTATTGATGACCTTTTACTTTCTCTATTTTTGTTCAATAAAACATAAATTGATGGAAATAGGCAGCTTCAATTGGTAAAATGTTGAAATCAAAAGTTCCTTATAGAACAGCAATAGATTGGCATCATCTGAAGCAGTTGTTTCTAAATATGCCAAAGTTAGAATTTTACAAATTATTACCAAAAGCTAGTTTCCCAAATTTAATATTTCATGCCCAGAAAATCAGTGCTATGTTTACTTCATCTTATAGATGTGAAGAAGTGTTTCAACTGTAAACCTTTGAAAAAATCATTTCAGAAGTAGACTAACAGACAAACATTTAGCCTTGAGCATTAAAATATGTACATCTCAGTTGGAATCTCAATATAAAGAACTTCTAAAAATGAAATCGCAATTTCATTCATCTCATTAAATATTTAAATTAAAACTTGCATATCGTTTTTCTATTTTAGAAGTTTTTATTACTTGGCACACCAAACATTTTTTCTTTGTTTTTTTGCCCTCGACCAAAAAAGTTTGCCCATCCCTGGCCTAAGGTATAGATTTTAAAATTTGAAAATGCAACGTTTCTGAAAAATGCAGCTAGTGAATGGTTTGTCAGTGTTTTTATTTGTTTTTCAAAGCAATTAATCTTTTTAGGTTTAAACTGCAAAACGTATTATTGTAAAATTAATTAAAAATATGCATGATGAATGTTTTTATATTTTAAAATATTTAGCTTATTGTGCTTTTATTTTGTTTGCCATAGAAGTTTCATGCTTTTTAGGTTAAAACTTCATATTAGAAAAATAATTAAAAGAAAACATTCAAGCTATAGTTTCAACATCATGATTAGAAAAATAATAAAACTTCATGCGTAGACAAAATTAAGTTTTTTCTTCTTCATAATTTAGAAGAGGAAACATACAAGCTAAGTTTTCAAAAAGTAAAAAAAAAAAAAAGCGTTTGAAAAGGGCTATTTCCAAGGGCTTATTTCATATTTAGATAACCAGTTTTCAGATTCATCGATTCAATTAGTACGAATTTGAACAATGTTTTTTGATGTCAGAGTTAATCATTGAGTTAATGGTCTTCCATATGGACTTAACACATTCCACACAATATCAGTAATTTTATTTTAATAAAAGAATCATCAGTAAAATACTTGGATGGTTCATTGAAAAAATACGTTAATTATTATTATTAAAAGGATTAGGAAGCTTAATTATCATGATACCGATATGTGAAATATATTTTCACTGCATAATATAAATATCATAAATATCGACAGCGATAATATCGGTAATAACACAATGAGAAAATCCTTTACCATGTGGTAAACTTTTTCTTTTACCACAGTGTTTCAAATTTCAAAGACACTGGAGAGTTAGACAAGTCTAATCATCAAGGTGATTCAATTCAAACAAAATCAGTTCACTTAGGTGATTCGAATTACTTTATTTTATTTCATTTTATTACGGTTATAGAACAAACGACCCATTATCGGGTTTATACGACTATCAATGTTCAACTCCGCAGCCTTTGTCAGTTTGAACCAGCCCTAGAAGAAAAGGGAACTCCTGGAGCAAACACAGGTACATACAAAAATTGAACGAAGACTTTTTGGTGGAACTAGTCCACATTTACGCTACATGGAGAGCAAAATCCCGAAAACCATCCACGGTTAGCCCGATTCAAGAGGATTCCAACCCATGATCCGTTTACCAACCAGGATATTTTTAGTCAGCACTGTGGTCACTGCGAACTGGGAGCGGAATTCGAATTGACTGAGCATGACTGGGATTCGAACCTGGTCACATCATTGTGAGGCGAACACTCCATCCTCTGTGGCATCGCGTCTCGATTCGAATAACTTTTCATATTTTATTTTATAGCTGTCGTTGAACAGCCGACCCAATTTTGGGATAACGATTACTAATGTTCATCTCCGTAGCCTTATAATTTAAAACCCAATCCAGAGGACAAGGGAACTCCTGGATCAAGTATTGGGAGAAATTTTGCCGACATTGAGGACTTTTTGATGAAACTAACCCGCATTTGCGTTGCATAGAGACGAACACCACGAGAACCTCCCACGGTTAGCCTGACGGCAAGAGGACTATAGCCCGTGATCTGTCTACCTCTGAGGATATTTTACATTCGTCGGCGCTGTGGTCGGTCCGAGCCGGGTGCGGAATTAGTATCGACTAACCATTGCTAAGATTCGAACCCGGTTCGCCCCATTGGAAGGTGAACGCTCTATCTCCCGAGCCACACTGCCTCGATTCGAATTCTTGTACTAATTCCACAGATGCATTAATAACCGATGCAACCGGTAGACGTGTCACTGATACAGCGTAATGAACAGATTACGTCTGATCACGTGGTCTTGAGCAAAAGTGCCAAGACCGCAAATTCTTGTCCTTTAAATTTGACCGGAAGCACTTTTTTTCTGGAAAAGTTAACACTTTTAGTTCATTTTCTAAAAGAGGGCGAAATGCTATAAATAGGTGAAGGTAAACGTGATTGAATGTTTGATTACGAAAAATCCTGTAAAAAAAAGAGAAGAAAGATAAATTTTAGACTCAGTAAAAGATGCAAAATAAAATACTTTGAAAAATATTGATATTAAAAATTCCTATCTCCCAATACTATTCAAATTTATTTCTCTATAAGTTCCTCAATGATGAATAATATACTCACCTGCCTATAGGTGTCTTCTACCGTGGGTATATACATTTCACAAAAGGTTCCTTTCACAAATCGCAAAACTAGAGAACTTTTACCAACGCCACCAGCACCGAACACCACAACTCTGTAGTCGTTGCTCTGCTCTGGCATCGCTATCCAGTCTTCTTCACATCGTTCCACTGCATATATCAGAATAAACAAAATTAATTCAAACTTGCCTACATAGTTTGTTAAAATAATAATTCGAACTTGCCATAATTTGTTAAAATAATAATTTAAACTTGCCATAGTTTGTTGAAATAATAATTCGAACTTGCCATAGTTAAGATAATAATTCGAAATGAAGGGAAAAAAAACTGGAAATGTCCCCCAACAGCACCTATATATATATATA